TGCAGCCTGCCTCCGCCACGTGTGTGTGGCAGCATCGCTCGTACGCGCCAGCCTGCATAGCCGACGAGACAGGATCAGACTGGACCGATCCAGCGACAGATTGTGCCACTCACTGTGCTCATACCTTTCGGCACACAGCCCATTCGTCTAGTATGTACCCCTTCCTCGCTCCTGCCTTGCCCCCCCCTCCTCCCTCTCCTCTCCCCTCCTTCCCGCCCTCTCTCCCTCCCTCTCTCCCTCCCTCCTCTCTCCTCCCCCTCCTTCTTCCCTCTCCTTCGCTCTCTCCTTCCCTCTCTCCTCCCTCGCCCCCCCTCCTCCCTCTCTCCTCCTCCCCTCCGCCCCCCCACCCCCCCGACCGCAAACGCAGGTCGCAGGCGGCGCGCCTGGACTCCTCGACGCTGGCCACGCAGCCCTTCGCGGACAACGCGCCCGGGCTGCAGGCCCGGCCCCTTGGGCTGGCCAAAACCAATGCGAAGGGGGGGTCTTCCCCGTCTCCGGTTCACCTCCTCCCCCGCCGTCCCCCTCCCCCCTTTCCTCCTCCGCCGCCCTGGTCCCTCCCCCGCCGCATGCTCATCGCCCTTCCTCTCCCCTGTTCTCTTCTTTCTCCTGCTGCTCCTCCTTCTCCTCCTCCTCCTCCTCCTCCTTCTCCTCCTCCTCCTCCTCTATCTCTCCCTCCTCCTCCTCCTCCTCCTCCTCCTCGGGTCGCCTACGGCCCCGGGGTAAACCGTGCAGACAGCAGTCGACAGTCGGAGACGTTCTTTTGTCGAAGTTTGATACGACTTAAAGAAACATCGGCGAACGCTTCTTGGTTGAAGCCATATCTGACTTCAAAAAGCTTTAACATAGCGGATCGGTCTTGCAGGTGTGCGACTCCTGAGCCAATCTTGGCCCAAGCCTGATGAGCCGCTGAGCGCGGCGAATGCTAGCAGCACGCGCCAAGGGAAGCAGCGAACCTGAAACAAATATATCTTTCCCGACCTAGCAGCCATGTCATGGGATACGGCGCCACAGGCCGCGTCGCTTGACGGAGCAGCCTTTGGTTCAGGATCGCGGACCTCTTCGGCACAAGGGCGAGCGTCAGCGCCCTGCACAGAGAGGCCTGTCCTGCAGAGTCCGAGGGGCTAGGACTTTGCAGCGGCCGCTAGACTGCGGCAACAAGCGCAACAAGCACAACAAGGTCAACCAGCACTGGCACCGGGACAAGTACATGTACAAGGCAAGCCTGCGGCACAACCACTTCAACAAGCTCTGCCAGCACAGCTACCGCAACAAGGTCAAGTACAACCAAATCCACATGACACGTTCTTGGCAGAGATTGCTTCTTTGGTTGGTCGTATATTGCCGGACATGCGAACAAATCCGAAGGGCAAAACACATGTTTGCATTATGGATGGTGGATCGGAAATTGCCGAACACGTGATTCAAGGCAGTGCCGCTTGGATCGTGAGCGAACTCGACAAAAAGAATAACCCTGTCAAGGGATCAGGTATAGATTTGTACAAATCTGTTGAGAAACCGATGAATGATGCGAAACGGCTGTTCCAGAACAAGTGTCCCAAGGCTTTGACGCAGAAATCTTTCAACCAGTTTCAAGAAAAGATTGGATGAGTGTTTTTCCAGAGAACTGGTGTGAGCAGATGAACAATGAAGCATCGTCGGTTTCAAAGGCGAAGGAAGATGGTTTCGAACAAGGAAGAGGTTGCTCTCAAGGGTCAGGAGTTGGACTTCACAGCTTTCATGAGTACGGTGGTGGAGGAGATCCACGACAAGATTGCCACGAACAAAAGCGCCTTCATCTCCGAGCAGATTGAAGTGATTCGGAAGTTTGTTCGTTTGAATTGGCAAAGGTCTTGATAATTATCAAAGTGGCGGCGTCGAATCATCAAACCGACGCGTCAAAGTTACAACATGGAAAAGACGAGAAGGAGAAAACACAATATGTAGGAGTTCGATATGGCCGTGCACCAGCATCCGCAAGTTGCTTTTGCTGTGTGGATGCGGGAAGTAGCGGGGAGACTCATCTCGTTTACGGTGTGCAGACGGGAACAGATGGGGAAATATTAGGCCAGAGTACGCATAGGACAAAACTCACTCGCTTTGAGCATATTGTACCTGAGCTGAACGATTTTTTGCCGAAAAACGAATTCGCCCTACCAAGCGCCAAGGTCGGTAGCGCAAGTCTTCCAGAAGCACCAGGAGAGGAAGAAAAGAAGCAAGTTCAAAGCAGAACAAGAAATTGCAGCCAGAAGTTGCAGCAGTTCAAAGAAGAACAAGAAAACCAAAACGTCATCCAGGAGTAAGTTCACAGAAGAGTTCCGTGCCAGGGGGAGCACCAAGGGAAAAGGTCGAGGTCGAAGCTCTACCAGGCCCGCGACAAACAGCAATAATACGCGATCGCAAAGCCGTTCGTCTTCAGCAAGTTCAAGAAAGCCGTAGACATCTCCCAGCGAAAACCTAGAACGCAAGTCCCAGGAAGAGTTCGAGGACAGCGTCGAGGACGACATCGAGACCCGGTCGTTGAAGCCGGGTCGGGGAGGCAACGCCGCTAGGACAACAATGTCTGCCAGACAGCGGAGGCAGCTACATTGATGCCATTTTGGCAGCAAGGGCAGAGGCAAACTATCTCAATGCCGAACACCTATTTCAGAGTTTTCTCCAGCATGTCAAGTCTTTTACGATGTCCAACATCGTCTTCGACATGAGAATCCAGAGAGGTGTGTTCTTCCAACCTGCGTATAACTTTTCTTGGAATTGGGAGAATTTCTTTTACAAAGCAGAGTTTAACTGCATGGTTCCCGACGCCGTCCTCAAACCTATCGCTTGACATGTGGGGCTTCGCTTTTGAAGGAATCAGCATGCCGGAAGCCAAGATCTTCGGGGTGATCCGTCTTCTTTCTTGTCACGGCAGATGAAGGGAGTCAACTTGAATGTCGTCGCTGGATCCCAGGACTCAAGCAGTTTTAGACTCTTGGGCAAAATGTTTAAGAGAAAAGGCATCAGCGCAGGCGAGCAGGGCATAGAAGCAGGATGGCAGTTATTGGTGCTGGCGCGCTATCAGATGGATAAGCCGGCAGCACGAACATCAACGAGTGTGCAAACCTCCTGGGGGGTAGAGGATCTGGTCCGCATCTAGTCGATGGCAAGATCTTTCACCATATTCAGAATAAAGGATCGCGACGACTACCAGTTGGTGTCCGTTTTGGATATCGCGGAAGAAACGCGTCACTTTTACTGTTATTTGGAAGCCAGATTATCGAGCGCAGCGCTGGTCAACACGATCGACAAGAAAACGATGGAGTTCATGCTGCAACCGTTCTTGGAGAGTTGTTGCATTGTTCTCGGAACTTTGGCCATGGCGCAATTTTGAAGTGCTGGTCCGCATTCGCTACCTGATCAAAATGCTCCAGTCGTGCATGAAACCAGGAAGACTGGAGGTCGATGTGCGTTCCCCGCAACGAAGCACTACCATATGGGTCTCACAGATTCTCAGAAAGGTGGTTGCGCAGTTGGATACGGTTCTGAACGATTCAAACACGATCTTAGGTGGTAGCCACTGTCATCGCATACCCCTTTTTTCTGGAGTTAGCCAGCCAGCCGCAGCGCCGCTACGACCACAATTTCTTGTATATCCATAACCAGCCGCACCGCCGCTGCGACGAACCATGTTCTTTCTGGCCCGAGACACAGTCGAGTTTTACCCGTCAAGTCTTATCAATTCGCTCAGCGAAAGTTTGAACAGTGCTATCGATGCGGCATTTGGCCAGAACCAGAAGGTGAAGAACTTGAGTGCTGCGATCTTGTTAGCCGCACTTTCGAGCAAGTAAGTTAGGCTTGGCACGCACATCGACAAGAACAATTCATTATCGGTCGGGGAGAGAATTTCAACTGACGCAGCGAATATTCATCGGACAGTGGTTCCCCGCTCGGGCTATTCAGAAGTATGAGCAGAAATAGGCTGGGGGAGATATTCCGGTTACGTGGATGACACATTGGCCATCATCTTTGCCACCGAGCAGGACGCGCGTGATTGGTGTGACGAATGTCAGACGGTCGAGCCTGATGAGTTCCGATGGGTGTTCAAGGTTGCGTCAGGGGCGATCGATTTCTGTGATCCTACACGAAGTGAGGCGGAAGTCAGATCGCAACGAAGACCCACACCAAACCTTCGCATAAACCCCAACACCGTCACACACTGTCGAGATATAATTGTGGCAACAACCAACAGCACCTGTAAAGTGTAATGATCTCGACTCTTAATCAGCTACTCCATCGCATCTGACTACCGCAATTCGTTTCCCAGATGTTTGAACATTTTCAAATCAGACGTCATTGGTTGCAAGCGCTCGATTACGATTCAGACCCGGAGGCGGACATATATCATACATTACATCATCGCCCCAGGATCAAAGAGAAAACGAACGATAGCGCATGCATTCATGCCACCACGTATTTCGATGACGTTGCGAAAAAATCCGGCTCCACAAGGAGGGGGGCATCAGATTTTAGTTTCCGTGGCCATGCAAATGAAACGTTTGTTCGCTCTCTCAAGTTTGTCCTTGCCTACGGGGGGGATGCATCGAGCTTCCTGCGTACATATCGCAGCAACTTTGCTGCGGGCTGAAGGGTGTGTGTTTTTTTTAACGTCAGACAGGACTTTCAACAAAAACGCTTACAGAGTAGATCGGTCCTTCCTCCTTGCAGGTGCAAGTTCTGAACCGATCTTGTCCCAAACCTGACGAGCCGTTAAGCGCGGCGAAAACTAGCAACACACGCCAGGAGAAGCAGCGGACCTGGCAAAACAGTTGGCGCCCAACGGGCGAGGCCAGGCACTGGGCAAGGGGTGCAGGAATCGGTGCGACCGGAATGAGTACGGAATGAATGAGTTTTCACGAGGACACACAGCAGTTCTTGTCCATTTTGGACTGGATTCGTTGTCGGTGTCGCCGCGGACGTTGTCCACTGAAGACAAAAAGTCGCCTGCCAAACAGCGGCCTCTGTAGATGTTGCACAACATCTGCCGTTGGGCATCGTGCCAATTCTCTCCGTACCTACTTCGGGCGTGCCAAAGGCATCCCCGTGAGCTTGTGATGCTCGCGGGCAATGGCATGGTGGCGAACGTTAGCCACGGCATGTTCGAACAGTTCATGGGCGTTGACTGCAGATGGGGTGTTCGCTGCATTTTTTCCCCCACGACGCGCGGGGACTGGTTTGTGCAAGCCGCCGTGTCGCCGGAACTGGGCTACGGTGGGGCGTTCGTTCAAGAATATGCCAAGGAGGCTTCAGACCCTGGGAGATTCCTTGTCTGATGGGGTGCGGTGGTGGTGTCCAGGGCCAAGCCCCAACTGGCGTTCCACAAGCTTCCAGACCTCTTGGATTCCTCACCCTCCGCGAACCACGCTCCCCATCAGGGCCCCATGCAGCGGAGGCAGTTGGGACGGACTGCGACGCCAGGCAGGTGGCGAGGGGCATGGACGGGGGATGCGAAGGAGGCTTGGCACAAGGAGGAGGAGGACGAGGAGGAGGAGGAGGAGGAGGAGGAGGAGAAGGAGGACGACGAGGACGACGAGGAGGAGGTGGAGGAGGACGGGGACGTATAGGAGGTGAAGGAAGAGTTAGCATCTGATGCCCTCACCGCACGCTCCAAGCGATCGCCGGCGGGGTGGGCGACCGCCAGCGCGCTGTGCTCTCGTTCCGCTCCCAAGCTTTCGGCCGCGACGGCCGGCCGGGCCCCGCCTCCTTCTTGTAGGCTAGGGCATGCCAGACGAGATTAGAAATCGGAGACAGAGCTCCGGCTCGCGCTCGATGGAAGAAGAATTATCCAGCTGCTGTTGCCGACGCCCAGAGTTGGAGGGGACAAATCCTGCCCCCCACCAGCAGTGCGATCTCTCTTTGGAGGGTGGGCGGCCGGGTAATTGAGGAGGGTTGCAGTCAGGCAGAATCCACCGTAGCACCCATGTATGACCCCATATCGCCTTAGCAACTTCGCGGTGAGGCAAGCCAGCCAGGACGTTGCTAGCAAGGACTTCTGAAAATCCCGCTTGAGCGACGCACAAGAAAGCTGGTTCGATTGCGCCGACGTTTGCGTGTCAGTTACACGCTCAATGTCGCGCGTACGCACCCTTGTTTCCGGTGTGGCGTGCCGCGCGGGCGGCCTGCGTGAGCCATCGCCATCGCGTAAGGCGGTTGTGTCATCTGGCGCAGGAGCCGCTTCTTCTCGTCGCCCACTCCAGTGCCCCTCCCGCCCCGTCCTTCCGCGTCTCTTCCGGCCCCCCTGGTCCTCCACCCCACCCCCCAGAAGCGCATCCGCAGTCTGAGGGGATTGGACCCGCTGCCGTCCTCCTCCTCCTCCTCCTCCTCCTCGTCCTCGTCCTCCCCCTTGTCCTCGTCCTCCTCCTCGTCCTCGTCCTCCTCCTCGTCCTCGTCCTCCTCCTCCTCGTTCTCGTCCTCGCCCTCCTCCTCCTCCGCCTCCACGCGACCCGCGGCCCCATCCGGCGATCTCTCGCCGATGCGCACCGTCCAGCGGCTTGTGCCGGCCTGCCCCGCCACAGTGGACATCGGGCATCGAGGAGACGCCCACTCTGGCGAATCGGCCCACTCAGACGAGTCGACGGGGGGAATCTGCACGGGCTCATGCGACGCTGGCATGCGAGCGTACGGGTGCAGTCCCTGGTCAGCTTCGCTGATCGACGCGCATTTCGCAGGATACTTTCGTTTGTTCTTCCACGAAGCCTGAGTCGGGTGTTTATTGTCTCTGGACACCTCGCGCAGGAACAGGAAGTCACCTACTACACCATGATCACATCAGAATAATCATCATCATCATCACCACCACCACCATCATCATCATCATCATCATCATCATCAGCAGCACCAGCATTATCATCAGCATCATCATTGTCATCATCAGCATCATCAGCATCAACATCAACATCATCATAAGCATACTCATCAGCATCACCATCATCATTATCCGTTATCCCGCTACAGCATCATCATCATCATCATCATCATCATCATCATCAGCAGCAGCAGCAGCAGCAGTATCATCATCATCAGCAGCATTTTTATCATCATCATCATCATCATCATTATCACCACCACCACCACCATCATCATCATCATCATCATCATCATCATCATCATCATCATCATCATCATCATCATCATCAGCATCAGCATCAGCATCAGCATCAGCATCATCATCCTCATCATCATCATCATCAGCATCAGCATCATCATCATCATCATCATCATCATCATCATCATCATCATCATCATCATCATCATCTTCATCATCATCATCATCATCATCATCTGCACCACAACAATCAGTCGTCACTTCGAGCCCCTCAGGCCTGAATACAGAGGAAGCCTCGAGCGGGAGCCTCGTCTGCGAGTGAATTGCGAGGAAGTCTCAGGCGGGAGCCCCTCTCTACGGGGCCCGCAGCTCATGTTCGAATCCGAGGTGGGTCATCCAAAAGCTTGTAACCGTCGTAGCTGCGGGGCTCATCAGGCCTGAACATGGAGGAAGTCTCGAGCGGGAGCCTCGTCTGCGAGTGCACTGCAAAGAAGTCTCAGGCGGGAGCCCCCTCCCTGTGGAGCCCGCAGTTCATGTACGAATACGAGCAGATCATCGAAAACGTGTCATTGTCATCACTGTTGGGTTCCTGGGACCTCAATGTGGAGGAAGTCTCAAGCGGAAGCCTCATACGTGAGTTATTTGCAAGGAGGTCTCAGGCGGGAGCCCCCTCCCCGATGGGGCCCGCAGTTCATGTTAGCAATCCGAGCGGGCCATTCGCAGACTTAGAACTATCGTCACTTTTGATCTCCTGAGGCATGAGTATGGACGAAGTCTCGCGCGGGACCTTCGTCTGCGAGTCAATTGCAAGGAACTCTCAGGTGGGACCCCCCTCCCTGTAGGGCCCGCAGCACACGTTTGCATTCCTAGCGGGTCATCCAAAAGCCTACATTTGTCGTCTGGTTGGGGCTCCTGGGGTTCCAATATGGAGGAAGTCTCAAACGGGAGCATTGGCTGTGAGTGAATTACAAGAAAGTTTCATGCGGGAGTCATCCAACAACTTGTACCTGTTGTAATTATTTGGTTCCCCAGGCCCGAATATGGAGGAAGTCCTGAGCGGGGGCCTCGTCTGTGAGTGCATTGCGAGGAAGTCTCAGGCGGAAGCCCCCCCCTGGGCCAGCAGCTCACGTTAGCAATCTGCGCGGGTCGTATAAAAAAACCTGTAACGGTCATCCTTTTTGGGGCTCCTGGGGCCTGAATGTGGAGGAAGTATCGAGCGGCAGCCTCGCTCTGTGGGCGACTTGCAAAGTCTCAGGCGGGAGCCCTCTCTCGATGGGGCCCGCAGCTCATGTTAGTAATCCGCGCGGGTCGTCCAAACGCTTGTAGCCGTCGTCATCGGGCCGTCCAAAAAACTGATCACTGTCATCATTTGTAGGCTCCTCAGGGTTTGAATATGGAGGAAGTCTCGAGCGGGAGTCTCACATGTGAGCGATTTGCAAGGAGGTCTCAGGCGGGAGCCCCTTATAGGGCCCGCAACTAATGTTAGTAATCCGAGCGGGTCGTCCCAAAACTTGTAACTTTCTTCACTTGTGGGCTCCTGAGGTTTGAGCAGAGAGGAAGTATCGAGCGGCAGCCTCGTCTGTGAGTAAACTGCAAAGAAGTCTCAGGCGAGAGCCCCCTCCCTATGGACCCGCAGCTCACGTTAGTAATCTGAGCGGGTCGTCCAAAATCTTGTAACGATCGTCGCTCTTGGGTTCCTCGGGCCTGAATATGGAGGAACTCTCGGGAGGGAGCCTCGTCTGTGAGTGCATCGCAAGGATGTCTCAGGCAGGAGCCTCCTCCCCATGGAGCCCGCAGCTCATGTTAGTAATCCGAGCGGGTCATCAAAGTTCCTGAAGTGTCGTCGCTCTGGGGTTCCTGAGGCTTGAACCCGGAGGACGTGTCGAGCGGGAGCCCCGTCCGGGAGTGGATCGCGGGGGCGAATCCAGCTCGCGCTCGGAAAAGATCGCTCATCTATTGGGAGTTGGACTTTCAGCTGGCCTGCCACTGGCCCTCACGGGCCACCCCTCCGTATGGGGCTCGGACTTCACGTTGGCAATCCGAGTGTTGTATGCTAAGCGGGTCGTCGGCAAACTTGTTAGTGCCGAGACTTCCTGGAGCGCGGGCCGACGGCGTCCTTGCGGAGAGTGTTCGAGGAGTTCGACAAGAGAGCGGTGAATTCCAGGGATGAGGCGGAGCAGCTCGCGGCTGAGCTGGACTTCAAGCTGCCTCCCGCCTGAGCGCGGCCGCGATTTTCTCGGGACCTGCGGGGTTGCCCCAACGGCCTCGCCCGCTGGGCTGCCCCAGCGGCTTCGCGATGCGGCCATCGGAGAACGCGCCCATGGCGCCCGCGGCCGCATCGGCGCCGAGGAAAATCGACTGGGCCTGGCCAAGAGCCAGAGGAGGTGCATGGGGGGAGCGGGCAGGAGGATGATAAGAGAGGGACAGTGAGCAGGATGGCGTGGAGGAGGAGGAGGAGGAGGAGGAGGAGGAGGAGGAGGAAATGGAGACGGAGGAGGAGGAGGAGGGGGAGGAGGAGAAGGAGGAGGAGGAGGAGGAGGAGGAGGAGACGGAGGGCGATGAGGACGAGGAGAAGGAGGAGGAGGTGCATCAGAGGGCGGGAGGACGCCTCCGCCAAGGCGACGAGGAGGAAATGATGGTTAAGTCAAATCGATTATCATGCACGGTCCTACCGTCGGAGTAATTGGACGTCGATTAGTGATTTCGTCCCGTGGAGTGAACCAGCCGGTTATGCTGAACGGCGGCTGGTTCATGAGAATTTCGTTTGCCCTCGATGTCTGGATTTCTTGGGTTCGGGTGCAGCTGGCGCGAAGGTTAAAAACAACTCTAGTTTTGGATGGGTACCCTTTTTTGTTACTCGTGTTTGAGCTCTCCACATGTTAGTGACTTTTCTTTGGGGTACCTCCATTGGACCCTGGCCCCTTTGCGAAGGGGCTCATGTTCTTGTGTGGTATGCCGCTGCTGCTGTCTTGTTGTCGCCGTTCACGTGTTATTTGTTGTTCCAGTGTCCTCTGCTGTTAGTTGCTCTCGCGTCCTCCCGTGTTCTCCGTTTGTTCCCATGCGGTTTGCTGACTTGCTTCTTCTGCTGATCCCGTGTTCTCGCTGCCCATGTAATTTCTGCTGTTTCCGCGTCGTCTGTTTCTCCCGTGTTCTCAGTTGTTCCCTTGTGCTCTGCTGCAGTGTTTCCTCCGCGGAAGCCCCGTGCTCTGTGCTGCCCCCGTTGTCTGC